TACGGTTTTGACTCCGGTATGGCTTTCAAGACCTCTTTTGATTTGGCAATGTTTGGAGGTTTCAAAGGTCTATCCACATAGCTTTCTTTTTTGTCAGGTGGATCAGTTTCTTGGGTTAAGATGAAATCCACCGCCATCTTGGTTCCTGAGTTATTACCATAAATATATGCATCTCTTGCTAACTAATTGATTGTCATTTATTGCAGTAACGGATCATAAAATAATTTTCATTTTTTTCTGTTTTCTGCAATTACTTCAGCTGATTGGATCATTTTGCAAGTGTCGACTTTTCATTTTTCTGAGGTTTTCTTTTCTTGATAGATGTTGAAATTTACTTGCACTTCATTAACCGTAGTGTCGGCTTCCCTTCTTGCACATCAATCAGTGCTCTTCCAGTAGCCAGGAAAGGTCAACCAAGAATCAACGGTACTTTTTCATCTTCCTCCATGTCTAATACCACAAAGTCCACTGGAAAGATGAACTTATCAACCTTCACCAACACATCTTCAATAATGTCCTTGGGATACGTGATCGATTTGTCCGCCAGTTGCAAGGTAAGGGTTGTGGGTTTCACTTTTCCAAGACATAGCTTTTTGAACACTGATAGGGGCATCAAGTTTATGCTAGCTCCAAGGTCACACAGTGCCCTATCAAACGTGATACCACCAATATTGCACGGGATGTTGAAGCTACCCAAATATTTCAATTTATGAGGGAGTTTCTCTTGAAGTATGGCACTACATACCTCTGTTAGCTTAACAGTCTCGAACTCCTCCAACTTCTTTGATGTCACTTCTTTTAAGAACTTGACATAGTTAGGCATTTGGGCCAATGCTTCTATAAAGGGAATGCTGATGTGAATTTTCTTGAAGACCTCCAGAAACTTTGCGAATTTCTCATCAAACTCTTTCTTCAAATACCTTTGCGGGAATGGTAGTGGGGGCTTCAAGATAGGTGGGTTGTCCGGAAATGAAATTGAGTAAAGCTTATAAATCTTCTTTTTTGTCTCTGCCTTAGTTTTCTGCTCTTCAGTCTGCTTTTCCCCTGCAAGTATAGGATCCGATGTAGGCACCACAACCTCTATAGGCTTGAGTTCTTCAATTACTTTACCATTCCTTAATATGATAGCATTGCAGTGTTCCCTTGGGTTGACCTCCGTATCACTGGGAAACTTTCCTTTCTGTTGGGACTGTATCGCAGTTGCTATCTGACCAATTTGTACCTCCAAATTCTTCATCGTGGCCCCCAAGTTGGTCATATGAGTCTCAATGTTGTCAAGTCTTGCCTCATCTTTGTTGAACCTCGATCTGGTCTCCGAAATGAAGGTTCCTAGAATATCTTCTAGTGATGGCTTTCGTTCAAATGCTTGATTTTTGAACCCCTGATGGTAGTTGTTTCCTGAGTAGTTTCATTTTGATTGACGTTTCGGTCATTCACATACTGAAGTTGTTCATTCTCCTTTTCAGCTTTCTGGTAGGCAGTGGATGTAGCCAGAATAGATTCCAATTTTTTTTGCGATCCATATGAAGTCAATGCAGCTATTTAATTAGTGAGAGATGACATTTGAGCTACAAGGGCGGTAATGGGATACACCTTATAAAGGCCAACAACTTTCTTTTCACTTGAATGCTCACTCGGCCATTGATAGCTATTAGTAGCTATCTCATCCAATAATGCATAAGCTTCATTTGGAGTCTTGGATAATAATGCACCCTCTACTACAGAATCGACCACTATCCGTGTTTGACCATTCAAACCGTTGTAGAAGGTTTGTATCTGCAACCAATTCGGGTAACTATGCTGAGGACAGCTTCTGAATAGATCTTTATATCTCTCCCATGCCTCATAGAATGGTTCGAAGTCTGACTGTTGGAATTGCCCAATTTCATCCCGCAATTACGCTGCCTTCGAAGGTGGAAAGAATTTTGTAAGAAACTTCTATGCTAATCCCTCCCAAGTTGTGATGGATCCATATGGTAATGATTGGAACATGCTTTGCCTTTTTCTCTTAGGGAAAAGGAAAATAGAAGGAGTCAGATTGCATCTTCAGTAACGCCATTCATTTTCAATGTATCACGGATCTCCAGAAAGAACCCCAAATGAGCATTTGGGTTTTCTGTTAGAGCTCTCCCAAACTGATTTTGCTACACAATGTGTACAAGTCCTGGCTTCAGTTCAAAGTTGTTAGCAGCAATAGTGGGGCGTGCAATACAGGAGTAATTTCCGTTGACAACTGGTGTGATGTAGTCCCTTATAGCTCGTTGTTAACCATTCTGATTGTTCTAATTTGCCATTAGAAATTATCAAAGCACATAGTTCTTTAAGTGGAATTAGCCCAAAGATTCGCACTTGCTTTCGAAATCTACGAAATCTAGGTTATGTTATTCTTATATCATGCCTAAATTTACCTCTTTCGAACGTCGAAATTTAAAACATCAAATTAGTCAATTAGTGACCAGTTAGTTGAAAGCATTGTGCAAGAACAACATAAATAAATAATCAAAAAGATTAATTAAAATAATTATATAGGAATTAAAACATGTCTAAATAGGCTACATCAAATCCCTAGGATTAAAGTCTAGTTAATAATAGAACTGATTGGCACGATAAAATACACATTAAATAACATGAAGAAGAAGTAAGGAATAAGAAAAACTAGTTTTGTTGCGTGAATTTTTCCCTCAATTGTCGTCAATCTTCTTGCAATTGCTTTGTTGATCTTTGCCTCTTGAGATTTTCTCCTAGCAATCATCTTTTTCCCCTCTAGAAGAAGAAGCGCCGTTCTCTTTGTCCTTCTAGGTAAAGTAGTATTATAATTTTATTTCCATAAGAGTTTATGTCAAAAAATGAATCTGCCCGATTTTTTTTCAAAAAATGCCTGCGCTCGCGCGCTGTATATTTCCTTACGTGCGTGCTGCCTATTGATTCTACATTCTGCTTATGAAATTCAACCCCTTGCGCGCGCATGCCGTTATGAAATTTTTCCATGTGTTGTACTTTGATCCCTATACTTCATTCTTTGTTTCTTTTGGTCCATATTTGACATCTTCTCGATAATTCATCTTTTAATACCATTTAATTGCCTCTCGCTCTTCTTCAATCATTAATATCATGTTCGAATCAACTTTTGATACTTTGCGATTTAGTCCCCAAACTTTTGATTAGGCCCAAGTTAGCAAATTTCCCGTTCTTCTGTCAAAATTCATTGTTTTGCCTCAAGTTACACCTAACACATGAAATATGTATGAAGTTAAGTATCAATTCATCCTAAATAACAAGAATTGCTCTAATTTAATGAATAAAATAAGTGTATAAAATACACTTATCAATGGTACTAAAATATCAAATTTGAGTTTTTCTCCAAAATTATAGTTTTTAAGCTCGAAGAAGCAATTTGATTTAATTAAGACTCAAAAGAGTAACGAATTTCAAGATTGTTTATTCAAACGAATTACCATTTCACCAGGCATATGTTAAGGAATAAATTTCATATTAATTAAATATTGAAATGGAGCAATATATAAGGGTTTGATTGTTGTGGAAATTACACAATTCACTACTTTTAAAAATTCACAATTCTAAAATAAGATGGGTAGTTTAACCTTCTAAAAATCAGATGTTTTATTTTAACTAATATTTTTTAAAATAAATATTTTTACTAAATATATATACTCCATTACACACACAAACCCTAATTATTTCCCAATATTCTCTCTCTCTTCCTCGAAGAAAACACAGGTGGATGTTGTGTGGTGGTGGATGTTGTGTGGCAATCTGGTGGTGGTGTTTTCGTGGTGTGGTGGTGGAGTGTGGCGGTGTTGCTGAAGGGGAGGTGTGTGTTGTGCCAGTGTGTGGCAATGACGTGGGGGTGGCGGATGTGGTATGGCGGTGCTGTTTTCGTGGTGTGGCAGTGTGTGGCGGTGTTGCAAGGGTGTGTGGCGGTGTTGCTGTGGGAGTGTGTGTGGTGTGACAGTGTGTGGCGATGACAGATTTGGTGGTGGTATGTAGATGTGGCGTGGCGCTCTGGCGACGGTGTTTTCGTGGTGTGGCAATTTATGGTGGTGGTGCAGGGATGTGTGGCGATGTTGCTGTAGGGGTGTGTGTGTGGGGTGACGATGTGTGTGGTGGTGCTGCTATAGGGTGATGGTGTGGTGGTGTTGTTGATTTTGTTTGAGACAGTGGCGGTGGTTCCGGTGATGACGCGAGCATTGGTGATATTGGAGGCAGCGATTGTTAGGTGATGTTCATAGATTAATTGGTTGATTATGACCATTAAATTGGTTAATTTGTGACCAATGAAAAAGATAAATTTTGAACAAGAAATAATGCTTGATCTAAAAAATTATTAATTTGTAACCGTCTAATAAGTTGTGACATATAATATTTGTGATTTGTGACTTATGAATATTTTTATTCGTAACCAAAAAATAATATGTCACTTGTAAAATTTTTGATTTGTGATCGAAAAATAAGTTGTGACCAATAATTTGATAAATTGTGATTAAAAATTAATCCGTAACTAATTAATTTTTGATTTGTGATCGATGAATAAATTTTGGCCTACAAAATTTTTGAATTGTGATTTTAAAATAATTTGTGATATAAATTTTTTAATTTGTGATAAAAAAATAATAAGTGGACTAAATAAATTATTAATTGTGATCAAATTGTATATATTTAAGACCTAAACATAATTAATCAATTAATTAAATCATAAATAAATTTTAATAAAAATCTAATTTTTGAAGTTTAAAACTTGTTTTTTAGTTTTAAAATATTCAATTCTTAATCTCTTATTTATGAAAATTTCCGTTGATTATTCATCTTGACAAAGTTGATATTTTGAGATGAAAATAAAGTCTTAATGTTAAAAATTACATTTTTAAGTCCAATTCCGATATTAGGCAAACATGCTTTCGAAAATACAAATATTGACGCCACATCCTTGAACCTATACTTACAGACGCAACGCACCCATACGCCCTTCCCTGTCATCCCCCCTTCTCACGCACTCGCACGGAGTACTGCACTTTCCTTTATTAAAGACCCCATTTAATCAGGTTCGGTAATCTGACAAGTGAAGAAGGTAAAAAGTAAAGAGAAAGATAAAGTGGTAACAAAGTGATGAAGAGAGAGAGAAGAGAAGAAAGAGTCTCCTCACTCCTACTCTCCTCCGTGGTTGATATTTTACAAGCATTCTTCACTATGCTTTGCTAAGCCAAATACCCAACAAACTCACTTCAAATAATTCCTTTAATTGTCCAAGAAAATTACATAGAAAAGCCATGGTGGGCTCAGGAGCAACAGACAGAGGCAAAGAAGCTGTTGGGATGATGGCCCTTCATGAGGCCCTCCGAACCGTCTGTTTAAATTCAGACTGGAATTACTCTGTCTTCTGGACCATTCGACCTCGCCCGTCTCTCCTTCTCTGTTCTATTTTAGTCTGTTTTTATGATCTATACACTTCCATTTTCTTGATTTTTTTTCTAATTCTTTGTTGGGTCTTTTGCATTTCTTGCAGGAGAGTTAGAGGTGGTAATGGCTGCAAAGTTGGAGATGACAACGGTAGCTTGTAAGTATTAATGAGCTTAACTAATCTCGCTAAACCAGGGGAGCCAAAAAGATAGATTTTTTATTGAGTTTTTGTGAGTAATATACAGTATTTTCTTGTTTGTTTGTTGCATTTTGTGCAGGATGTTGATGTGGGAAGATGGGTTTTGCAGAGGCAGAGTTACACAGTGTTTGGATGAGATGGATGGCGAGGATCCTGTCAGAAAAGCCTTCAGCAAAATGTCTATTCAGTTGTATAATTATGGAGAAGGGTGGGTACTCGGTAGGTCCTTTTGTTTTGTAGATTGATTCAATTGGATTTTATCTGTCTTGTTCCACCCTACCCTACGCCACCCCTATACACTCATTCTACAAACTGATTGAATTTAGGGGGAAAAAAAGTGAAGAAATTGTGTTTTTATTTAAGGGTTTATAACATATAAGTTAATTGAGTGAAAAAAATGCGTGCAGATTGATGGGGAAAGTTGCTTCTGATAAGTGTCATAAATGGGTTTTCAAGGAGCCAACTGAATGTGAACCAAATATCTCCAGCTACTGGCAGAGTTCATTTGATGCAGTATGTACTCTATCCTTCTTTTCCATAATTGCTCATTTGATTATGCAACAAAATAATTGATTTTGGACCTAATTCTGCAAGTACTAGTTAGTAGAGGAGACAAGTATTATGACTGTTGAGGAAATTGAAGTTTCATTGTCCCAATTATTGGTCTGATACGACTAATTGTTAATGAGTGGTCCATTAATATATTAATTGCAGCTTCCTACTGAGTGGACTGAGCAGTTTGAGTCTGGCATTCAGGTCAGAATCTATGGTTCGGAACTGTTATCCCCGCTGTCCAGTGCTTTGAAATCCGTATTGGACAGTACTGGACAATATTAAGGGAAGAAAATAAACTAATATTTTATTCATTAAACAGTTCATTAGATGTTTTCCTTTTCTTCTCTTGCTTAGCCTGTGTGCTCTTTGACATGATTTTGCCAGACTATAGCTGTTATTCAAGCTGGGGATGGCCTACTGCAACTTGGTTCCTGCAAGATTGTGAGTTTTACTTATGAGCATCATTTTTCTCAAACTTTTTCAATTTTGGATAGTCATATTCTTGAGTAAATCTAAAGCATACAATGGTAACATGATGATCTCATTGGCAGAATCTGTAATTGACCTTTTCAGATAACTGAAGACCTCCATTTTGTGCTGAGAATGAGACATACCTTTGAATCCTTAGGCTATCAATCTGGATTATACCTATCCAAGTTATTTTCTTCATCTCGCAACTCCTTGTCTTCATCCACGGTTCCCCTTATGCAATCGGTTATGCCGATTCGTCCTCCTTCTCCTGTTTTTAACTTGGGGCCAAGGCCAATCCCTCCAGCAGTTTCAATGCTTACATCTCCAAATTTTCAAAACACGGCTGGGGTCGGAATTCCACCTCCAAATCATTCATCCGATATGTTGGGAGATCTCAAAAACGATATAAAATGGCCAAATGGATTGTCTTTCTTCAATGCTGTCAGTGGACAAACAGATGGAGCAAAACTTTTGTTCAATCCTGAGGGCTTTGTAAACAAGCTTGACCGTCAGAATCCAACAATGGATTCCTTGAGTTTGCATAACAACGGCAATGCAAATCTTGACGAGTTTTTAAGCTTGGATAATAATCCCAAGATGGTTAACAACTTTGAGGGGATCTTTACATTACCTGCGAGAATTACTACTCCATCTTCGTCGACTTCACTTGATCACCACACACAAAATCCCGGGGAGTTCAGGAATGAAGCAGGGATGTACTCTGATGTTATGGAAACTTTCTTGGAGTGAGTTTAGAAGGCTTGCTTGGAAGGATTAAGGCTTAGAAATTGTAATTAGGAAAAGCATCTACTCTTTGTGACAGTTACCTTTGTTCAATTTAGTGCTTTCTATAATTATATGACTTCTGTTATTTTTAAAGACTTCTCAGAATTCATTGTTTACTCTGGTTCAATACCAAATAAGTTAGAAAAAAGGAAGAAGTTTTGCATCAAAGTTGAACCTCTTTTGAAGAAGAATCGAAAAAAATAAAAAATGATTATGTTCTTGAGTTAAGAGTCACCTAATTAGGAGGGTGGTTAACCTAAAAAGTAAAAACTATGAATAGACTGGACAAAGTGGAGGCATGTGAGAAGTGGCGGATCTAGAAATTCAATTGAGCACGTGCGTCCATTCAAAGAATTTTTTTTTCTAGACGGAGCCAGCATAGGCAGTTGCGGGGGCTCGTCGGGCCAATGGCTGCCTGACTTCTTCGTATTTGATGCTTTCTTCTGATCTTTACCGGACTAATGAGATATTCAACATTGAGCCTTTCAGTTTAGGTTGTTAGCGTGATGAAGAGGAATGCATATTGTCTCCTCCCTGCATGTGAGATGTTTGTTTGTTGTCTTGTTCGGCAGATTTTAACTTCAATACACTTTCTCTTGAATATATGAACTTTGATGAAAGCATTTGCTTAAGCATTTGATGGTTGAGCGAATTGCATATTGGTAATTTTTCATACGAGAACTCGTGCAAAGTGAGTGGTCAATCTTCTATATTCACAATGTGATGGGAGTCACTTGACATAAACTTTTGGTAGTAATTTCGAGTTTTTCTATTTGCTTTTGATTTTTTAAACTGTAATCAATCACAAAAAAAGGTTTTGACACTCTAAATTTGATGATTCTTTGATGATCCAATCTTATCTTGATCATATCTAGTTACTCTGTTCGATAAGAGGTTCATATGTACACAATAATCACATTGTAGCGGGTACAGTTTATTGGTAAAAGTTAAGTGTACTTTTTGAAGTCCAAAAGCTAGTCTTTTCTCCACATTCAAAAAGGTGGCAAAAGGCAAGTTTAGCCAACCCTAAAAACAGGCATTAAAATTTACTTTTTGATTGTTTAATGCTGATTCCTCTTTCACTTGATTATGTCTAGGAGTATAAAATGGAAAAGATTGACTCTCGTTTCCTATAATCCTATGATGATCAGATAAGGTTTAAGTGGTGCCTCTACTTTTGCCCAGTTATGCAGCTATTTGATGCGTGAAAATACAGACAACAAAATATGTCTATCGGTTGACTCCACCAATCTGGTTAATCAAATTTGGTTCAAATCGAGTTTTTGCACCACCTGCTTAGCATGACAAGTGGCTATTCCAATCTATCATTTTGACAAAGAAATCTATGTGTTTTTGTTGAATAATTGTGCTGATTATTGATTTGAAGTTCTGGTCTGATTGACCACACTAATCTTAAAATTCGACAACTTGTTTGAATTTTAAACAAATCGAACTTTAAAAGATCAACCTTAATAAAAGTTGGATTTTGTCAACTTTAAAATGTAAATTCTAACGGGAGGAATAACTCATCTCTTGTATGATGATGATCATTTTCGTATTTAAGCAGTTTGGAATTTTACTCTTAAAACTGATCGTACCACAATAGCAGGTTTGATACCTGTACTTTGTGAGATTCAGTACATAGTATGAATAAAATTAGCTAGACAAAAACGACACAAATTTAAACATGTTTTTCTTCTTTAATACTATCTATCTATATACACGTATAGATGACCTATCACGCTTCATTCTTAACTTATGCTAAGATCCAATCACATGACAAATCAATCCATTGCTGGATAACAAGTTTTCAAATATTGTGAGTCATCATAAACTTATCAATTTATAAGTTGATATGTCAATTCACCGGTACTTAGTATAAGATGAGCAGCGATGCTAATAAGATTATTTGTATTTATCAATGGGGCATCATTATCACATACAAGATTTAGTTAAACTATCCATGTTCTATGAGTTCTTGCTTTTCATCTGATGCCGGATCTTCCCAATTAGTACTCAGAATCAGAGGTGAAATTACAACTGGGCATTAAATCTTTTACAGCATGAATGAAGATCAAGGAAAATAAAATTGGTCTCAATTATCTAGAATCATTCATAATTTTGTTATCATTATACAAGAAAAGACGAAGGTAAAACACACTTATCTACATTGATTTGGGTCTTTCAGTATTTCGAATCACACTGAGGGGTAAAAAATGATCTTTATAGTCGACTCCACATTTATTTCGTCGTTATTGTCATCAAATCGTGATTGCAATCCTTCGAATATCGAATGATTGTAGATGCCAACTGTATATTGATAACAATACAATAAAGATAGTTTATGATGTTTCTATGGCATGGCACTTTTTACATGCTGAAACAAATGATCTCAAAACTTTCTTGCCAATCCATGATTTTTCATGATCAGTAGTATCCTTTTCCATTTTCCTTGATTTCAACAATTTGGATTCAACTTTTACTGATCTAGATCTTGATCTCGAATCCTGATGCATGAAGGCAGGTGCGGGCGCGATAAATTGCCATCTTTGAGAAGAACTATATTTGTATTGTGGATTTAAAGCAGGTTTTTTTCCTGGAAATTTTCCTCCAGTACTCAAGATTTTCCTTTCAGATGTCTCACTTGTACTTGTTCTAGCACTGCTGCAGTTGCTGCTCCTGCTATTCGTGCTATTACTGCGCGATGACATTAGAGAATCCTTGCTGCTAATGCTGCTCGTTCTGCTCGTCGAACGCGAATAGGAAAAATTATTTGCGGGATGGTTAAGTGGAAAAACATGAGGTAAAAGCTTGCCATTGAAGAACAAACGATCAGAATTTGGAGAGCCTGGTTTTGTAACACACCCAAACTCAAATTCATCGGGATCTGAATCTCGGACTGCGATTATTGGAAATGAAAACTTGTCGCCCGAGCTGTTTTTTCGCCTTCGATTTTCCATGATACTTGTGAATATCTAGCATTAAGGGTCTGATTTATATGAAGCTAAAGCATAATGGGTGACTTCATTTTTCATAAAAAAAGGGATCATGGAGAAATAAAAATGGACCCCTTGTTGGGCATTTTGATTAAGCTTTGGTGGTCTACATCATGTTTAGTATAGTTTAACTTTGCCAACTCCATGGTTGGGTTGAATATTGTAGTAAACATTAATGATTCATGGAGCGTGGGCTTATGTTGAACACGTGTGTAAATCATAGATTACATTTGCGTTTAATATTGATTAATTCGTTATACAAAGATTATCACAAAACTATTATTTTTTATCGAATAAAGCATAAATAGATTTATCTGGACCGATACATGATTTTCTTTGTCTCTCTATAATTGATTCTTACGGTTTCATGTTCTATTTCACTCATCGATCGGGTTTTTCACCTTTACCTTACGATAGTACTTCGCCATTGGTCATCTATGAGTATTTAGCCTTGCAAGATGATCTGTGCTGATTCACATGGGATTCCATGTATTCCATGCTATTCGGTGTTTTCGATTTGTGGACTTTCGATATCTAGGATGCAGCATTACAATAGATAATTTTTTTCCCTTCTTTTGTACTTCGAGTATAATTTAAACCATCCATCCATCTTATCGTAAGAAAATCTCAACGTGATGATGGGTTCAACGTTTCTTTCCTTGTCTATGGAAGCAAAGGCAAGAGCTTAGGACATCTTTATGAGACTTTTTTAATTTGATCACAGCTTTTTCTTGAGCCCCAAACATGGCGACAACCAAGGTGTTTGATAATTCAGTGTCTCCCATTAGGGCAAGTATGTAGGACCTTTGGAGCTTTCTTAATCTCGTATTGCCTCTGGGACCAGATATGGCTACTTTCATACTCTTTTCGCTATTAATCGATCTTGCTTGGTCTAAAATTGTCATTATAGTTGTTTTTCCCCCCTCATGTTATTTGAAAAATAAGAAATACAAAAGTACGACAATTTATTTATTCCTTATTTCAAAGCACACGAACAAACATAAGTGTTGATGACATAATTATAACGTGGTACAATAAATAAACTCTATACCAATATAACCATCCAACGTTTGGTTAAGGCTAAATAAGTTGAAGAATGTTACTTGTACAGTTTTTTGACAGCTTCTTTGACAAATGTTGAAGTGATCTGCACTTCAACCCTTGATTTGAACTTCATAAATTTAAATGTAGGGTTGAGATGACGTCTTAGCATCTGTCAAAATATGTCTGTACATATAGCTTTTAAGTAGGGGTGTAAGCGGTCCGGTTTTACCGGTTTTTGACAAATTTTCAAACCAAACCGTTTAAAACGGTTTGAGAAAAACACAAACCTAAACCAAACCATTTTGAACGGTTTAAAAAAAACTCAAACCTAAACCTAACGGTTTTGTCCGGTTTTAAACCGCCAGTTTCGCCATATATTTTTTGCCTGTCTACTTTTATGTCATTAATTCATTGAATTTAATATATATTTATATCTCACTAGTAATAAATCTAAAACAAACTAAGCCCCTGTTTGAATCAAATTTTTGGGACAAAAAAATGAAAATTTGGATTGTTATTCTACAAGTCCAGCCGCCTTTGTTAACCTGCTATTTCATGTGTGAGACCCAACCTCCTCTCCAATAGTCAATTTTCTCATTATGATGATATGAAAAATATGGCTCAAACAGAGACTAAATATATCTACTATAAATTTAAATATTAACTAAATCAAAGTGAAATCACAATAAACTTAAACATAGTTTTTTTTTTCATTTTTGTTCACCTTTTTTAGGTTAATGACGATAAAATAACGTTACAATACAAGTCGACTAAACTAGATATAAGGTCAAAAAAATAATGATGTCCAACAAGACCTCGTGATTTTATATCTGAAAAAAAGATATTGATTAAATAAAGAGAATAACCAACTACAATAATAAAGCAATTGTTTATAATATCTAAACATAACAATTACACAAGTTTACGTTTGTATGATGTTATGAAACACATTTAATTTCAAATTCTTACCTTAGTTTGCTCCAACAAATTATTGATCTGAAACTTTATTTGCAGCAAATATTATCACCGAAGGTCTAGAATCTCTTTGTCTTCGATTTGGTATAATAGACTTCAATTCGACTTTGAAGATGCGTGAAAAATGTGAAAAGAAGTGTGTGGTGCCGGTGGCTCAAAACTGTGTTGGGTGTCGACTGGAGTTCATCTAAATTTTGAAGAGGAAAAAGGTTTTTGATAGATTATGTTAGTCTTAAAATTATTAAATATATATTAGGATTATTGGATGATGATGATGATGATGATAATAATAATAATAATAATATATTTGTATTAGAAAATTAGGAATTGACAAAAATACCCACAAATGACAAAACTATTGAATTTTACATATTTGGATGAATTTTCAAAAATTTTCATTTTTTTATTTTTATATATTTTTTCACCGGTCCGGTTTGGTTTTAAACCGTAATTAAAATTCTCAAACCTAAACCAAACCATTTTGACCGGTTTGGTTTGGGTCAAAACCATTTCATTGACCGGGTCCACGTGGCACCAAACCGACGGTTTCTAAAATGCGGTTTCGGTTCGGTTTTCCGGTTTTGCGGTTTTTGCTTACAGCCCTACTTTTAAGTATACCGCATTTTAATTGCACGAAAGGTTCATAACATTTATTTATTATCACATTTCTCACATTTATTATTATTATCGTCAATGTTTCATTAATTAACACATCTTGTCATTGATAACGATTTGAATATTTATATTATCACTACAAAATTTATTTACTACACCACATTATAATCACACCACAATTAAAATTTATTTTCAATAAATACATCACAACAAATTTACTATTATACTTCCCATATTGTGGTGTACTCATCATTTCAATATTGTCTTCATTTCATATGAAGTCCCACTGAAATTTGTAAAATCAGAACCCTAAAATTTCATTAATAAATAGTTCAAGCCGTACAAAAAAAAAAAGAAACTGGGGAAGTACCAATTGATTTTGGTTTTATGGGGGTTATATGAATTCTGCAACATTTTGTATGCAAGTTCTATAGCTATAGCTTTTACAAGCATCCAAGTCCTTTAGCTTCGGATCCTTTCATTATTCTAAGCCTTTTTCAAGAAGTGACAAACATATCCCACTAATATTCAAGGGTTATGCTACATGTACATTATGATATCCATAAGAGTATCCATAATGTAACAGTGACATAACATCATTGGAGGGTAGGAAAACAGTTTTTTCAACCCTTCGATCATAGAATTTCACGTGTACATTATGGACACTCTTATGGACGCGAGACACCATACTGTACACGTAGAATTATCAAACATTCAATCCCCACCTTTATCTTCAATGGTGCCTATGAAAACTGTTTAATGTTAAAATGTAAATTTAAAAATGTGGTTAATTAAGTAATTCTATTTAGGGTTATTTAAGTAAATAATAAAATTGGGGTTTAACAAGTAAATTTTGTGGTGGTTATATGATTACTCTTACGATTTTTGTCCAAAAGTTCGCTAAGAGAAATTAAAATGACGTATTTGCCCGCTTATTAATGAAAAATAACAAATACGAACTCATGGCTAAATATTTGTCACTTGTTTTGAAGTAAGTTAATAGAACATTTGAATGAAAATCATAATTAAGGACAAAAATTTCTGTTGGTGAAATGTTAAGGATAATAATGTGATAGAAAATAGGATATAAATGTAATCACATATAAATATTAGGAATCTTTAGTAAAATTATTGTGGTTTGACACCTTTTGTTAACTACTCTTGTCTCGTTTGTTTGTTTTTGTTTTTTTTTTTTTTTTTTTTTTTTTTTTTTTTTTTTTATTTTCTCCTCTTGTGCACTTAAGGTCTTAACATTTGCTTATTGTCGCCCTTTTGTTTTCAATTCTTTTTGTTGCATTTTTATTTTTAACCTTCTTTTAATTAGTACATCTTATTATTGAACACGATTTTGTATTCAACCTTTTTTTTTTTTAATTGACGGAGGAATCCGCAGTTACTATCCTTCAGGTGCGTATTGGATAAATTCTCGGGCTGATGCAACACTCTGTAAATCACGTCAGTCAGGTAAACCGCACTAGACAAGCCCGGTACGACATACTCAACCGAGAAAGTATTAGTAAGAGGAATCGAACTCGTGACCAAAGGTCTCCATTCTCATCTACTCCATCAACTCGACCACCTCATGAGGGGTAACAACTATTTTTGCTTTTACTCCAACAGTGGTTTGTTAAAGTTGAGAGGTCATGTTAAATTGTCGCGCAAGAATACGTCTTTTTCAACATCTTTATTTTATCTCTATTTCTCCTAAATGTTATACTAAACTTTGTTTGGTTTAGGTAAAAGTCAATTTTTTTAATAATTTTTAATAAAAGTTAATGAAATATATGATTAAAATTTGTGGATCTAATAAAATATATAATTAAAATTAATTATTAATTTTTAAGTTAAATTTTAATTCAATTTTTAGCTGAATCGAACAACTTCTTTTACGTTGAAAAGTTGTGAATCTAATAAAATATATAATTAAAATTAATTATTAACTTTTAAGTTAAATTTTAATTTAATTTTTTAACTGAATCAAACTGTTTCTTGTAATTCTTTCTATCAATTGATATTTAAAGAATGTCTTATTGACGCCATGTAAGGGAAGATCATCTTAAGATTACGTATATTAAATTTATGTGATCGTTATAAATAAATATAAATAAATATAAATGAGTGATGGATAAATAATTAATATTAGCCAACCTAGCCATGGGGTGATGGGCATTAAGCCAAAATGGATTTAGTTTTGATAATATTTGGGGGAAAAAAAAAATGATAAATCCACACTGCGAAACCATAAATTTGAAAAAACAGAAGAATTAAGCTGGTGGCGACACGTTCGAAGCAAAACTGGGACGTGTCTTCTTTAGAGGGGCTCTCATCTCTCTCAATGCACAATTCACCCCAATCCCCCCATCGATCTCTATCCATTTCTCCTTCTCATTGCGGCATTTTGTTTGATTCTCAATCTCTCTGCCGCTATTTCATTAGGCATTGCTCAATATCACATTGTAGTGTATAAATTCTTTTCACATTTAGAATTTTTCCAATATGACTGGCAAGGAAATCCTCCATAAGATGAAGGTACCTATAACCTATTCTTCTCATACACATGCATTTAATTACGTGTTTAGTGAATAATAATGCGGTATAGCGCAATGATTTATGGCATTGCTTAAATTATTTCTGGATCTGTAATTCTGAATCAGCCACTACTGTGATAGATTAATTATGAATGTGATGTGTCTTATTAAGTAAATAAACATTGTAATTTTTGTTATTATAATGTGTTTAACTTGAATCACTACTGGTTTTGACGATCTGTGTTGTTACAATTGAAACAATGTTAATTTGTTTATGGCGGACTAATTTGTTTTTCATAGGAAAAATCGGCTTTTTCAGTGTTGCTGTGATTTAGGTGCATATTTACAGTGTGAAAATCGTTCAGTTGGTCAGTATCTTACATTGATTAATGAGCTATACTAGTTATAAAAAGGATCGGTCCAATTATTGTTGTTATTTGTTTTCCCCTGTTCTACATACTCCTGCAGATATTGCTAGTACGGTCTGACATACACTAAAAATACCACATACCAAGCAATATCTTTTTTCTATGCATTCAAGATTTCTTATCTATATTCTGGAGTCACCTTTCTTGAGGGATGTGGATGGGGAACCAGGGGTGATGTCAATGAAGTTTGACGAAAGATACTCACTTTCAGATCGTAATGTATTTTCTAGTCATGGTTATTAATATGAACTTGAGGATTTTTCCTTCTCTCTCTCTAATTTCAATTTTTTATTTTTTTTGAGGGAGACATTTTATTTTTGTTAGGAATTTTATGTGTAAATGCATGCAACTAAAATTTCTCAATAATGTAGAGATCGAACTAATATATCTAGTATGATTCGAATTTTTCTTTAGAATTATCTCTGAAGTTCTTCTGCTCTTCTCTCTCTCGTTTCTATTCTTTTCTTCTTCCCATTCTGCATCAAGTGGATCAATGTGATATCTCCTGTTCTATGAGTATGAAGGAGTGTGTGTCCAATATAAAACGAAGCTACAGGCTTAACACCCTCAATTACTAGGCGTTTGGATAAACTTTATTTGGTTAAGGTGGATATCCTCTTAGTTTTAGGCTACTTGCTTAAGCTTTTGATTTGCCACTTACAATGAATTCTTGCCTTGGAAGCCAGGATGCTTGAGATTAATTGGGTGAACGACGGACACAGTAAGGCCTGCTGTTTGCCTGGGATGAAGTCATTGTAGCTATAATGCTTAATTCTAGATAACAGAAATGGCATCAAGTAGTGATATCTTCTAAGAAGATCTTAATCGGCTGAACCTTGCATCAATTTTGTTTGTCATCCATGAAACAAATTTAGAGTTCGTCTCGGAGTGGTGTTATGATTCTAACTCGTGTTCTCTTAGTATCACTCATAGAAGAATGCATGAAAAGAGGGGAGTTTCAGTCCTTTGACAATGTAACATATATGTTATGTGGCCTTTAGCCCTGAAGCTTTTGTTATAAATTGCAGAATCACCATTTTTCAATTGTTGGGTTTACAATTTTAATTTAGACACTGCTTTGCAATAAGAAGACTAATGTTGGATCGTATTTTGACAGTGTTTGGCTCCTTTTTCGTTAATTTTTTGCTATGGTTGATCATGCAAAGCTTTTCTTTATTATGATGACTTAAAACGCCTCTTTTTCAATGAGATACAGTTGCATTATATGTTTCCTATAACTATGTCTGCCAGTTGTGAGAGTCTATTAGTATTTGTGATTCTTCCTCCATCCCAGCTTATGAGATGAGTAAATAATTTTTCCGAAGACTTCATGATGCGGACATCAGCCCTAATTTACTTTTTGTTTTATTTATTGATATCATTTTATTTCATTGAGCTTCTCTAGTGGGTCTCGCCTAAGCCCGTGAATATTAGGTTTCTTTTGTTATTTATATGTTGGTAACTGGAATTGTAAGACGGTTAACGAATTAATAAATTGAATTGTGGTATGCTACCATCGTCTTCTCCCTCCCCTAGTTTCTTCCCCATTCTTCTTCTTCTTTGACTCTGACTCTGTCTTCTTCTTTTTCTTCTCCAGTTGTCTTATTCTGCTGCACTTAGTTTGCTTCTTCTGCTGGTTATTTCAACTTGCTTGTCCTCTAATGTTATAAATTCTAAAAATCCTCAACAATCCTACATCAACTTGGTATCAGATCGAAACTTGGACAACAATTTAGACAGCATCAACAGTCAACAACATCACTAGTCACCTCCGCCTCTCGCCTGTACTTATTCATTCAGTTTCTCCTCCACCGCCTCCACCTGTACTTATGCTAGCTCATCATCATGTTGGTAATGCTCCTAAATTTCATGACAAGCTAAAAGGTCAAATAATTTCCAATCATGAAATTTTAGAATTTACTTTCAAAGTGCAACATAAATTAGAATGCTCTATTGTCGAATACTATACTTTATTACGACTCTCTTTGATCCGATTTCCCAAAAATGTGAAGAAAAAGTTTTTGCACCACTTGTATAAAGGTTTTTTCATGTGATTGGCCATCTCACTTAAATGAAAGTTATATTTTCAACGTAGAAGAATTGTTTCCTAATCGGGGTCCATTCAAGCCTTCGATGTTGCAATTTTTGCCTCTACAGGCCAGCCTTCGGTGCTAACATCTTATGCTCCTCATAATGCACAATCACGTGAAGATTTTGGAGACGAGCTGCATGAGCGTTTACTATTTGGTGATCAATATCGGTATTTGATTAAAATGAGAGATCATCCTCTTTAGATGGATCATAGCTTTGAGGATAAGTTGCAGCTTTCACTGTTATCAACTGTTGAATTTCGATATTTGGGTCATCAAAAAGATTGTCCCCCGTGGTAGTTCAATCACTTGACAGCGTCGAGTTTTTCTCCCATCCCGGGAGAGTTGATGCGGACATCAGCCCTAATTTACTTCTTGTTTTATTTGTTGATATCTTTTTATTTCATTGGGCTTATCTAGTGAGTCTCGCCTAAGCCTGTGAATATTAGGTATCTTTTGTTATTTATGTGTTGGTAACTGGAATTGCAAGACGGTTAATGAATTAATGAATTGAATTGTGGTATGCTACCATCGTCTTCTCCCTCCCCTAGTTTCTTCCCCTTTCTTCTTCTTCTTTGATTCTGGCTCTGTCTTCTTCTTCTTCTCCAGTTGTCTTCTTCTGCTGCACCTAGTCTGCTTCTTCTGCTGGTTATTTCAACTTGCTTATCCTCTAATGTTATAAATTCTAAAAACCCTCAACAATCCTACATCACTTCACAGAGTTAAGGTAAAGTTCGTTGTGATTTGCAGGAAAAGGTGGGTTTAGGTCCGCCTGCGTTTGACACAGGAAAAGGAAAGAGTAAGATGTCAAGGAAGATAACACATGGTTATCATTTGGTTGAAGGAAAATCAGGTCATAGCATGGAAGATTATGTCTTTGCAGAATTTAAAGAAGTTGGGGATGATGAGCTTGGTCTATTTGCAATATTTGATGGTCATTTGAGCAAAGATATACCAGATTATTTAAAGTCTCATCTATTTGATAACATCTTGAAAGAGGTAAATATGATAGATATTCTACCCAAGATTTTGGAATTGTTCTGTTATATACTTTTTGTTCTCCTTAATCCATAAATTAAGCACAAGTCCTCACCCCCCACCCCTGGGCAATCCCCCCCTGCCATGAAGAAGATGAAAAAGCAACAAATTAAACAAAACTTCATACTAGTGAACTAATAATTTAATAGAGATGACTCCATCCTCTGCTTTTGACTTTACTGTCTATTTCTGGGCGAGAACTGCACCAATTCTAACTCTGAATGTTTGATTTCTGGCAATAAATAGCCGGACTTTTGGACTTCAATGGAGACAGCAATCCGACGAGCATATCAGATCACAGATTCCATAATTTTGGAGAAAGCCAAAGATCTGGGTAGAGGGGGTTCAACAGCTGTTACTGCAATTCTGATAAACTGTGAGAAGCTGGTAATTGCTAATGTTGGAGATTCTCGTGCTGTTATTTCCAAGAACGGTGTGGCAAGACAATTATCAGTTGATCATGAGCCTGACAACGAAAGGGACAACATTGAGAGCAGAGGTGGCTTCGTAACAAAATTTCCTGGTAAGTGAAATTATAAGAAGTTAAATAAATTTGAGGGTGTATGACCTATGCTGCAACAATTTTTCACATCTTGGATACTTTTATTAGCTTGACAGTGACAAAAGAAAAGTTAAGAAATAGAGGAAAACCTCATAAAAGGGGAATAAATAAAAGAATCGAAGAAGTATCTGTTTATCTATGAAATTGCTAGATTGTCAATGTTCAGGGTGTCATATTATGGGGGGAGTATCTTCGAGCTTGTGATCTTATTAAATAATATGTTATTGATGTTAACTTGCTGCATGAAAATAAAGAAAAGAAAAGCAAAAAAAAAAAAAAAAAGGAAGAAACTGACCATGTAAATTGCCATGAACTACTTGTGAAGGTCCGTGCTCCCTTGTAATATCCACGTCTCAGGTTCAGGTCCATGTTCCCTCATACGACCTTAATTCATTCTTATTTCATCTATGACCATATTCAGGTGATGTTCCTCGTGTTGATGGCCAGTTAGCTGTAGCAAGGGCATTTGGTGACAAATGCTTGAAAGAACACCTTAGTTCAGAACCAGATATAGTGGTGGAGTCTATTGATGATGAAACTGAGTTTGTTGTCTTGGCTAGTGATGGCATTTGGAAGGTAAGTACTTCCAGTTTCTTGGGATCTATGTTTTTGAACTCTTTCATTATTTCTGTTGTTACATTGTTGTATTTGCTGCGGGCATTCTACCCATTTACATTGTTGAATTTACTTCGTTATAGCCTCCTTGACTGCCATCTTTTTTGTTGCAATCTATAACTCTCTTCGTCTTTCTTGTGTATCCGTAGATTCTGAGATCTGATTTGGTCAATATGATGCAGGTAATGTCAAATCAGGAGGCAGTTGATTGCATCAAGAACATAAAAGATCCTAAATCAGCGGCTAAGCGCCTTAATGAGGAGGCACTTGCACGGAAGAGCGCCGATGATATCTCCTGTATCGTTTTAAGGTTCGGATGATACTTCTGGCTGCCAGTCCTCCGAGAATCTTAACCTTTTTAAGACATTCAGCTAATAAAAACTCTGGCACATTTAGGGCAGTGTGTGATGTCTGCACTAGCGTTTAATCTTCCATTTTCTTCAGTATTTGTAGAATTTTGAAGGTTCTAATCTTCCATGTTGTCAAGATGCTAAAACCTGATAATGTCTACTCACTGTTTTTGTTCTTACTTTCTTGTATTGTGCAGAATGTGAAAATAATCTTTGTTATGTAGATCATCAACTTACATCAAGTCCCTAGATTAGGCAAATCGACCTTTGAATCTAACTAAACTGCAATGTAAAAGTTGCTTGTCCAAACCCAACAGTATTCAACTCATAAAACCTTCAATTCTGACTTATGGTATGACAGGAATCATCATTTGGAGCTAATTGATATTGTAATAAGCATTAAATCTTCTGAACAAATTCTCGCATCAGTGTGGAATTTTTTGCTAGCCGTCCTTGGGTGGATCCAATGCAATAATCTTGATGGGTTTTTTCAACCCATAGCTATAATTTTCATTCCTTATTGCTCGCCAGCCTAGAAATCTTTTCAAGTGAGACAAATTGCCCCCCCCTTTTTCTGGTGTAAGTGGCCCTACAAATGGCCATTGGCCCATAAAAGTTGACCTATTTGAGGGTACCATTCAAGAGTGTGTTTGGTTGAACTTGAAAAGTTCAGTTATAGGTGTTTATATACCAGTAGACTAGTGTAAACATATTTGAAAACTAGATGACTGGACTGTAACTTCTATTTACTAGCCAAACATGTCCCATGTTCATTATCATCGTGAGATGGAAAAAATTCCATAATTGCAATTCATATAGCTGTCTGGTGGCCATAGGCAGGCATCTTCATTATTGAAAGTGATTGAAATGGAATCCCATGATAAAAGTCATATAATTATAACTTTTAAAATGGAATAAAAGTAAATAAAAAGCTTTTGTAAAAGCATTACTTTTCCTATACATACTGATTTTGAGAACCATTTGAGAATTGAGACACAAAACCAATAAAGGGTGAGAGAGCTATGAAGTTCTTATTCCAGTGTCCATGTTGCTCATGTTTCTGCTTCATGAAGCCCAAAAAGGGCAAACCTCAAGAGAAAAAAGCTGCCAAGGGTGACTGAACCAGTGTTTCTTCTTGATTCTATGAGAATTTTTATGAAAGCCTCCATTTGCTTCCCGTACTAGATTTGGCTCGGTTTTTTTCTTCTTTTTTCACTCTGTTATTTTGTTGTTGTAATTTGTCTATTCAGCGTTTCACAAGCTCTAATGAGTTTGCTTTTGCCATTTTCTGAATCTCAGTCTGTAACTTGTAATGTCAGATGTACTTATTTAACAATAATGATTGGATAATTCTCAAACAAAGATTGGCGTTTCTGAATCATGATAATTTTTTATTTGGAAAAAAAAAAAAATAATAATAATCCTGGGATCAGATATTTAAAATTTTTACAGTAGAAATGACTCGATCCAAGATCCATGTGGACATTGAATCTAGCTGGTGATGCTCATCCCTAGTGTTTAATATTTCTATTCTACGTGTGGTTTTCTTCTCCATTTTCTTTTGTTTATGGCTTGGGGATCGAGGGCCGATTAGTTAATGTATTATCGATTATCGATTTTACAGTTTGATAATTCACGCAATCTTCAGCTACCCAAACTATTCCACATAATATTTTGGAGTTTACCCAGATTCTCCCTTGATTTCTTCTCATTCATATTGTCCGATACTTTTGGGTATCAACTGAACCCCAAAAAATTCAGATTCTATTCGGAATTTTCCACTGAAAAGTCTTCACTATCGGTCGTCATTCTTCATTTAGAAGCTCGTAATGGCCATTACTCGATCATCCTCGTTGAAAGCACAACTTCTTACTGATTCTGGCCATGAAGGAATGGCCAAGGCGATGTTGGTTCCAGAGGAAGCAACTTGATCCTCTTCCCCATGGATCTCAGATGAGGGATTCTTAGGAAAGCTGTTGACTCCAACCATTGCCCATGTATGATTCGTATTAGATCTGATCAACTGAAGATCTCTTGGCAAAAAGGGCAAAGCTTCATCACCTAAGAAGAAGACAAAATCCTTGCCTTGGATTGATGTCAAGAAAATACTCACACCACCACAGTTGATACATTAGTATTATTCAGACAGCGAAGACAGCCTAATTCGAACTAATGAGAATGGTTGATTCCGGAGAAGGTGAAATGTTTCCTCAGGGTTTCGACGTTCAAATGGACATTATCGAACAGCTCAAGCTTTTGTATAATCTAGTTCAAGCTACATCACAAGTCAATTTTCGCTGATATTGAACAGGAAGCTTGCACGTGACATGAAGGAGCCTATTGAAGGTATTAATATATAAAATAAAGAAATTCATCAATAATATTGTGTAAGCTTTTTGAAGAAATGTTGTAAATTGTTCGACTAAGCCATTGGGTCACGTTCTCGAAATTATTTTTAATTATACATTCTTTCAATAAAATAGTTTGCACGTGAACTCAGGAAGTTTTCTAGTTTTTAACTCTTCATTCTTCAAAAGGATTATACTTTACAAATGGGGTTCGAATAGGGCCTAAAATTAGGATTCATTTTTGTTTATTTTTAAAGATGAACACCATCAATTTGGATTTTTGAGAAATATAAAATTTAATTTAAAAGAAGTTACATGTCGTCATTAATATGGATTATAATGTTTTTGTAAAATACAATTAATATAAAAACATCGCGCTCATTTTGTTCAAAGAGTGATGTTATTTATCACCACTGATGTTAAGCACCAGTTTAGATGTCAATTACGTGACATTAAATGATATATTCATTTAGATATAAAGTCACATGACTCGTTTAATTAAACTTAACACCTAGATTGATGCTAAATAACATTATTCTTTATCTGAAACTTTGTAATCAAAATCTAGTGGCCACATAACAGCTGGCTATTTTAAGACACGTGAGAGTGAAGGTCTCACCAACACATCAACGTAGTTGCACGTGTTTATTCTAATAATATTGAAAGTTGAAACTCTTCATTTTATACAAAAGAAATACGATAAGTAGGCTGGAATTATGAAAATACTAAGGTCCTGTTTGGTACACATTAATGTAAAAATGAGAATGAAAAATATAGTTGTTATGGACCCCAGACAAGAGATAGAAATTCAAATTTGGTGGCTTGATGTGATAAATAACGATTATATTTTTCAATTTAATGAAGAAAAAATGGGAAACAAACGAAGAATAAATAAAAACCAAGCCATATTTCTTGCCTAAATTTTTGGGATTGTCCCAACCTCAAATATTTTCATGTTACACTTTTAAATAAAAGTTGTCGAAAAGCCACCTTATTATTCTTATAATTTCATTATAAAATGAAACCTAAATAAGCTCTTAACATGCTGTGCTGACCACTCCATTATTAATTTATAAATTAAATTGTGTATGACTAGTAGGTGTCCGAGTTTTATGAGGTTGTAAATGGGCAATTGACTGGTAGTTGGATTCGATGGATGACGAAATTAGTGTTTCAATTCTCATTCTAGCATCTCATCTTTTGCAATTTATAAAATCCAATTTACGTCGTGCCCACAAACTGTTTGTATAATTTCCTCAACAAATAAGGTCTCTTTGAGTCCTATTAATTTGAAGAAATGTCTTATAAAATAGCAATTGGCAGAGCAAGTGTGGTTAAGAAAATATGAAAAAGTTTTATATTTATGTGTTATATTATTTTAATAACAAATGTTCATTTAAAAATTATTATCATAAAAAAAAAAATAATGAGAAAGAATGTAAAGCAAAGGACGACCAACAGGCTAAATAAAATATGACTTTGGATACCTCTCGAGACATAATCCAGTTGTGCGAAGGACAGAAGTGAAGTAGTTTCAACCTTGCTGACAGTCGCAGTGTGAAAGTTTGATTCCTAAAATATGAAATTAAACTCTTTGTGAGCACCAGTGTATAGACAAGCTCTTGTTTCCTAGTATGTTGGAGCTTATCTCGCGATTTACCTTCCTCACGTCGTTTTTTAAGGTTGGAGTTCTACCCTTTTTTTTTTTTAATTAAATATGACTCTGGACGCAGAAGCTGTCACTGACAATGACTAAATATTTTCGTCCCTACTTATACAAGGAAAATGCGAAGAGCCTCGTGAGGATTGAGGAAGTTGAGCAAGTGGGTAGGTGAAACTACGAAAATGTCTTCTCACGGCGATGCAGAGACGGAGAAAAGACCTCTACTGAAAAACAATGCGGCGGAGAGGTGTTGGAGCAAGATTATTGATGTGGATGAGGCGAAAGATCAGATTCTCTTCGCACTGCCCATGATTTTGACCAATGTTGCCTACTATTTCATACCTTTGGTTTCTGTAATGTTCGCCGGCCACCTCGGAGAGCTCGAGCTTGCTGGCTCAAATCTTGCCAACTCGTGGGCTGCTGTCTCTGGTTTCGCTCTTATGGTAACTCTCTACGTACATATTAATTAACTTTATATGGATTGTGAAGATTTGATTAGATTATTTAATCAAACTTCTTGTCTTTTGGAGTGTGCTTTTTCGAGAAATGATGTGATTTTACCTTTTTATTTGAGCAGTTTCAACTTCAATGTAACAGAGATTATTCCTGCATCACAATATTGAAATAGAAGTTGGGCTCTTATAAATATTAATTAGAAGTTGATTAGTACATGATTTAGACTGCTATACATTTATGGTTCGAAGTGTATGTTGCCCAAATTCTTTATCTTGTTACAATTGCTATGCTACAGCGAAGGAGGAAAGGAAAAAATAGAATTCAATTCTGTAACAAAGGAAATTGAAAAATGGCTCAGAAAATTTCAAATGCGAAAAGAAAAATGAGAAAACTAATGCAAACTTCTAGCTCATATCTTGTTTCTGTACTTCTTCTGTAACTGGCAAGCAACGGATTGAAAATTTTACTCGACGTTCTAGGTTGGCTTGAGTGGCGCACTTGAGACATTATGCGGCCAAGGATATGGCGCAAAACAGTATATGATGCTTGGAATATACCTACAGGCGTCCTGTATTATAACTATTATTTTTGCCATTGCTGTATCAGTTCTCTGGTGGTATTCCGATATCGTTCTAACTTTACTACATCAAGACCCTCAGATATCAAAAGCAGCTGGTCTCTACTTGAAGTATCTCATTCCTGGCTTACTTGCATATGGGTTTTTGCAAAATATTTTAAGATTTCTTCAAACACAAT